TAGCAAGTGGACCGAGAACTACCAGAAGTACAGGCAGGATTTCGAAGAGGGAAGGAACTAGAGATAAAATTGCCAACATACGCTGGATCATGGGGAAAGCTAGGGAGTTCCAGAAAAACATCTACTTCTGCTTCATTGCCTATGCTAAAACCTTTGATTGTGTGGATCACAACAAATTGTGGCAAGTTCTTAAAGAGATAGGAGTACCAGACCATCTTATTTGTCTCTTGAGAAACTCAACATTAAGAAAACGAAGATCATGGCATCCGGTCCTCTCACTTCCTAGCAAATAGATGGGGAAGAAATGGAGGTAACGACAGATTTTATTTTCATGGGCTCCAAGATCACCGCAGATGGGGACTGCAGCCAAGAAATTAAAAGACACTTGCTCCTGCAGAGGAAAGCTATGGCAAACCTAGACAGCACACTATAAAACAGAGACATCACACTGCCAACAAAAGTGCGTATAGTCAAGGCTATGGTTTTCCCAGTTGCAATGTATGGCTGTGAAAGTTTGGACCATAAGGAAGGCTGAGTGCCAAAGGATTGAGGCCTTTGAATTGTGGTGCTAGAGGAGACTCCTGCGAGTCTCTCGGACTGCAAGGCAATCAAACCGGTCAGTCCTAGAGAAGATCAACCCTGACTGCTCTTTAGAAGGCCAGATCCTGAAGATGAAACTCAAATACTTTGGCCACCTAATGAGAAGGAAGGACTCCCTGGAGAAGAGCCTAATGCTGGGAACAACAGATGGCAAAAGAAGAAGGGGACGGCAGAGAATGAGGTGGCTAGATAGATTCACTGAAGCAGTTGGTGTGAGCTTAGGTGGACTCCGGGGGATGGTGGAGGACAGGAAGGCCTGGAGGAATGTTGTCCATGGGGTCGTGATGGGTCGGACATGACTTCGCAACTAACAACAACAAAAGCAGGATTGCAGGTGAACTTTAAGAAAACAAAAATGAGGACTGCAGAAGTCGTACAGAACTTACAAAATTACAGAAATACATGCTTTAAAAAGTGGAAGGCAGAAGAAGAAAAGAAAGATCAAATACAAGGTAAAGGAAGTTATAATCTGAGAGCAGTGGAGGTCTTTCATCTGAAGGATCACCATATGTTAGAGATGCTTTGATGGCACGTAAAAATAATATGCACTAATTCTCACAGTTCATTGGTAGTTTTAAATTTATTCAGTTTCATCTACTGCCTTCTGTCTCCCCACCCCACCCCCCATATGAGAATTCTTAATCTCTTCCATTATCATGACATCTTCTGTAGGGTTCCTGGATGTATTGGAGATCAAAGGCAGTGAATGTTATAAAGTGTCTGCCAATATGTAAATTATATTATGATTAGGCAGAATAAATCATATTTAGTGATTCTAACACTATTTTCACATGGTGTAGTAGTAAAAGCTGCGGGAAAGCCAGAACAAGAATAAATTGACTTTACAAACCAACACACCAATTGTGTTCTAGGGAGGACCTTGTTGTGACTCAGTTATAATCAAGTATGTGCTCCACATTCACCAGAAAAAAGATATAGACCCAACCAAAGGTCAAACAGCTTGTTTGCAAACATGGAAAGGGCCTCAAATTGTGGACCTTCTTCCAAAATTGAGCAGGCACCTCCATTTAGTTTCTTCTGCTAGCTTTTAATGCTTTAACGTTTCAGCTACTTTTATTTTATCTATTTATTTAAATACTACAGATTTTCCTTCTTCTATTTACTTTCTATTATATTTTATTAGTTGTCAAACACCACTGGCAGCAATAAGGCATAGTTTATATAGTAAATTTTTGGGTAAAGAAGTTTGCCAAAGAGCTCAAAAGCAAAGTAACTGCCATGTTAATGACTTCTGTCAGGAAAAATGATATGAGGTATTCCTTAATTTGAACTCAGTAGATTTGTAGATTCACCTCAATCCAGTGAACAAATTTACAAGTGGAAAAGGTTTTCTGTAAATAGATCTGATGCATAAAGGACCAAAAATCTACTTTCTACTTAGTGAGAAATGACATTCACTAGACAAATGCATCTCCATGGATTATTCTGACAGTGCCCCAGTTCCAGAAACTCTTTGATCCATTTCTCCAGCAACTTAGTTTACTTCCACATAAGAACGGTCGCTTAGTAACTGGAGCTGGAGATTCTGCAACTCAGTAAAACTGGCGGTAGTGAGAGAGAAGGGCAAGAGCAAAGGCAGGAATATATTTTTGCATGGGGAGTGACTTACCTTTCTTTAGTGACCACTCCACAAGCCAGATGACATCTGGAGACAGGGCTATATATTCCAAGGACATCAAGCCCCAGTTTTCCTGTGCAGGGACTTTCCTCCTTGCTGCATATCAGTATCAGTAGAGATAGCAATTTGATTCCCTAAGGGAATCATGGAATCCCAAGTAGGAAGGGAAGCAGTATGGTAAAGACATTCTCCACTGTTAGCTCTGATGATTGATCCATATTTAGGAGTAGTGCACGTATTTTTCATGCAAACCTGACACATCTAGGTCAGGTCAGGTCAGAAAATCTACTGCTAGTCAGTGTCAAGAGCAGTGAGCTAGATGAACCAATAGTCTGAGTAACTATGAAGTAACATTCTGTGTTCCCAGGTAACAGCTGGGTTTCCTCTCCCCATTAACCTCCAAGGTGTAAAGCTTAAAGGAAAGGACTAAATGAGGCCATGGGTGTTGGTTTGCTTAACCCCAGAATAATAAAATCACTGGTTGTTCTCATTTGTTTTTCTGACCCTATAGTGGTTATAAATGACTCACACTCAGGATCACTGCTGCTGCTTTTGCCCTCTCATTGATCCTTTGGAGGCAGGCTTGTCACACTTAACAGAACAGAAGAAAAGGGAGGAGGGAGGAGGAAAAAGAAAAGGAGAAGGGAGGAAAGGGCATGGGAAAAATGGGAAAATGTTAGAGAAAGCAGAAAAAGAGACAAAGTCGACCAGGCACTGTAGTTCTCTTAAGTCCAAACATTCCGTTTCCCTTGGCATTTTCAGTGACTTAACAATATTCTAAGAACTGTGACATGTCACAGCTGGGAACACTTTCCTCAACAGACAATTCTACCTAGGCTTAATAAATTTAGCAAGAAATAACTCTGGATGTGTACAGCTGCTACATAAGATTCATAATTTGACAGATTTTGTTGTGATCACACAACAAAATGATCATTTACTATGAAGACTTTAAAAGCAGTTACTTCAGCATGACACTGAAAATGAGGAAGAGAAAAAATGTATGAAAATTTGGAAGCAAAATCTTGGTGAAGAAATATCATATCAATGGGAAGCTTTATGAAGAAAGACATTAAATTCACAGCTAGCCAAGCACTAAGAGAAAATTGGTATAAGATGCTTTCTTGGTGTATATTACTCCAAAAATAGAAAAGAACTACAATGGAAAATGTTGGAAATGTAACAGGGGAGATGGGACTTTCTACCATATGTGGTGGACTTGTGAAACAAAAGATTCTGGAAGATGATACATGCAGAAATACATTTAACAGAGCAGAAGAAAAGGGAGGACAACCTTAACCTTTTACAGCTAAATTTCCTATGCGTCCTAAGAATATGCTCTTGAACATAACACCAGAGACTTTTTCAAAGAATATGTCAGAATTATTGAACTACATGACAACTGCTACAACAACTATAATTGCTTCTAAATGGAAAACACCAGAATGCCCAACAACTGAAAACTGGAAAAATACGTATGCAGTGATGGCAAAATTAACTAATTATGTAAGCAGAAGATCAACTGAAGAATTTAATGACAAATGGAAATTCTATTATACCTGGTATAATTAATATGATGTAAAAGGAAGTTCTTGAAAAAGTTGATTTGTAATTGTTTTGAAGCTATTGGAAAATTCATTGGTATACAGAACATTAATTCCCCTTTTACTGAGCTTCCATAGAGTATTGAATGATAGACAGATATTTTTGATCTCTTTGAAATTTGTAGGCTTGAATGTATTGGTTATACTTGTTCAAAATTCCTTGGTAATTTTATTTATATTTATCCTTTTTCTGTATTCCATTTTTGTTAAGAAAACAATAACCTTTTTAAAAGATTCATAATTTGACCTAGGGGGTTATAGTAACTAAAAACAGTGACAAAAAGACCATAAAAGTACTAGGACAGCATGTGTGGCAAGTGCATCAGAGAAAAGCGCACCAGTGAGGCTACAAGACAAAGTAACTTGCTCAAGAACCAAGACAAGGCTGAGGTAGCATCACAGCTGCAAAATTCAAACCTATCCACCAGTTCTTCCCCCACCTCCGTCTCTTTCCCAAAACACACATTCCAGTCACCCCACTCACTCATTTCTCTTTTGTTCAGAATTACCGTACAATCTCGCTTTCAGTTTCCCTCTCTCCCTCTCATTTACATACAACCTCCTGAGATAACTATAGTGGAGAGATTTTGAGGCAACTTCCACTTCCTAAAAGGGGAACCTATGCAAGTAGGACAAGCCCGTCTTCTGACTTATTTACACGTGTTCTCCGAGTTTAGTCTTTGGAAGTGCAAAAATCTGTCCGTGCGGGGAGCGGGAGCTCCCTAAGAGGCATCTCTTCATACAAAACATTTGATTTGACCCAGTTTCCTTCAAATTCGATCAGGGTGTACCATGCACGCCCGTGCGCATGCCCTTCTCTCTGTGTGAGCGTGCACTCCAGAAACGAAAGCGGGAAAACTTCTCCCGCCCTCGTCCCAGGAGACTGAGAGCAGAACTGCTCGCGCGTCTGTCAAGAACTGAAGCGTCCGCCTCACAGAGAACGATGTTGCAGTACCGTTACGAAAAAGTCCCGCAAATGTACGAAGCACCATCGGAAGCGGGGCGGGGTCAGTGGCGACGACGGAAATGAACGCATGTGAACCCCCATTCACCCCGCAGACGAGGAAAAAAAAGGGGGGTAACACTGGATTTTTGTAGTTTGGTCACGTTGAACTTAGCGGAAGGAGCGCAAAACAAGTAGCAATGCAATCACTCGCCTTTCCTTTTTCTCTGCCCGCCTTTCTCTCACAGCCCAACGGGTAACGTTTCCGAGTTGCTGAAAGAACTTCCCAAGTTCCGGTTAGAAAGGAGGGGAAGGAGAGCGCGTGTGGTGCGCCAATACGAGAATGAAACGCAGAGATAAGAAAATTAGAGTGATACATCACATTTTTGCGGATGAATTACTATGTTCAAATTGGAGAGATCATCTTTAACTCTCTAGATGTGGAACTGAAATCACAGGAGATATCACTAGAGAAATCCATGTTTTTAATATGGCTGTGTTTGCGTTCCAACCTGTCCACTCAAACCAAAACGTAGGATAAAGAGAACTTTTAGTTTGGTTTTGCATAGAAAACTAGGATTTAAATATGGAAACAATAGCCCGTCTAATCCAGTCCATTCTCCCCATGGACGTTGTAACGTGGTGTGCATGCTTGATTGAGGGAGTCTCTTACAACTTTGAAATGTAGCTCCTTTCTAGCCGGATTTCTCCATTGATTTCTGTGGAGAAGGCTTGGTGGAAACTTGTGTCTATGTGTCATTTAATACTTTTTATATCTCTGTGGTGTACAGGCTGGCGAAGAGATACGGGCAGAGACAGTGGTGGCTGAGTTCACTATAAAGACAAGCCATGGCAGGAAATGTCTTGTTATGCGTGAATTCAGCAAGCATAGTGAAGCATTGCACATTTGGTTACCTTGAATCCCCATGGACAATCAAGAGTTTGTTCTAAGGTTTCAGCATTGCTTGTCATTATGTGTGAATTCAGTTATAATGTTTTTCTGTAGATTCCCCATTTCTCCCAGCAAGAGTGGCTATGGCAACAGTAGATGCTCCAGGTGCCATCTTTTTCTGTCTGTTCCGCTTAGCAACTGCTGAGGCAGCTGCAGCCATGCTCTGATTGGCTGCCTTGCCCTACCTTTTCCTTTCACATGCTGCCTTTGCAATGCCTAGTTGCAGCTGTGGAACATTGGTGAGAGTGGGGATTGCACCACACCATCTCTGGTAGCAGTGACCATGGGGGCAGCCAAGCTTGGCATTCTGGTCTGGTTGCTGCTCTTTGTTGGGGCAGCACTTTGAAATGGTTGTGTGTTTGTTCTACTTAGGAAGCCAGCACTGTCCTCTTGTCATGGCAACTTTGCCCAAGAGGAGCATGCTGGTTGTGCATGTGCATACCCATCTAGGCATCAGCCTGAGAAGGCTGGGTCTCCTGTTCTCTCTGTTGCCCTCTCTGCTTATCTTTTTATGCCTCTGGTGTTTCTGAGGGCTGTCAACAAGCCACTGTCACCCTGCCACAGCTGCACAGCAAATGCATTCCTTGCAACCAGCCCAAAAACTTTCCTAGGTAAATGTCCACATGCACTTCCACAAAAATTCATTCCATCAGGGCATGCTCCCTCTATCTAGGGCACTACATACCCATGTGGAGGCCCTCTGTGTGCCTAGCAGCAGAGGGGAGGCAGCTCCTGCAGCCCCCAAGGACTTGTTCTGTGGCCCTCTTGCCATTTGGAGTGCCCCCACACCCCCAGTGTGGATCCAAGCGATGGCACAGGCATGACTGTGGTGAGCTCTCCTGAATTCTCCCTCTTCCTGAAGTCCAGGTGGTGGTTTTGTGAGAGCTTGTGAAGGAGCTTGATTAGCTTAACAAACGCCATTTGCTTTTTGTAAAACTGCTTGCTTTAGAGAGGAAAAAGGGAAGGCAAAAGAATGGTGATAAAGACAAAGAGGTAGTGTGAAGAAGAAGACCCCCTACACAAGGTCGGGCATGCAGTGATCATGCTCCCCCTGTGAAGGGATTGGACGTAGATAAGGAGCTGCAGGCCAGGCATGCAGTGGACATGCAGACCCCGCAAGGGGATTGGGTAAAGGATCAGGCAGACCCTGAGAGGGGATTGGGTGAGGGAACAATGGGGGCAAGATTAAGTGGAAAAAGAGAGGAAAAGGAGGAATGTGTGTGTGTGTTGCTGCCTGCCTGCCTGCCTGCGTGTAGGGAGCGGACACCCGATTGCTTTGCTCAGCTGAATAAAGGAAACTGAACGAATCTCCACCTGACTGAACCTCATTGGCACTTGGTTTAGTGGGTCTGTAAGTCACCTGGCTAGCAGGGACGACAACACTTGCCCCAGCATGACCTTGCTGATGAGCTGGAATGGCATGGGGCATGCTGGGAAGAATTTGTCAGCTAGTCCAAGAGGCTCAGCATGCCAAGTCCAAGAAGGGAGGAGGGGCTGGGGGGGTCACATGGGAGGTTTTCTAGTGGGGAGAAACAGGGAAGGAGCTTCCTGCAATCTCTGCAGAGAAAAGCCTATTTCTGAGACTTCATATTGGTTTTCTCCTTCATTTAATAGTTAATAAAATATATTAATTGTGTATATTAAATAAATATGTTGCAAACACTTTAATTTACAGTATGGAAATGTAATTCATTGCGTGCGCCTGAGTTCTGTGTTGAAGTCCTCATGCAGCCTTCAGGGTACAAAATTTTGGACTGCCCTGCAGTTGCTTCATGGAGCAGCAGAAAAACAAAAACAAGAATAAAAAAAGGCAGCTGGCTGAGGCCTGGTAAGGAGATTGTGGGCCAATGAGGGAGAGGCAGGAAGGTGTGGAGCACCTTGGGGTTGAGTCTGAGCTGTGGGGGCTGATGGGATACATGCCACCATTTGGAAGGAACATGGTGGCACATAGAAACTACTCAGTAGTAGTTATCTCATGAATATGTGAACACAGGACACAAGGCAAGAAAGATAGCTTTGTGTCATTGCTTAGTGTTATGTTGAACAGCCAGTGGGTAAAGAAGTGCGTGAACAGGGAGGGAAAATGTAGGAGCCATCCTCACCAAACCTTGAAATAAGATTTGCATCCGCCTCCTACCATCCTTGCTTGAGAGCTTGTAGGTTTTATGTTTATTGCTGTCATCACTATAAGTCTGTGCCTCATGGGTATGTGTGCCTTTAAGGACAGCTAAAGCAACACTACCCATTGACTGGAGAGAAATGGATATTATTTCAATACTTGAGTAAAGTTTTTTTTTATTTAAACAAGTTTTTGGTTAATTTAATGCTTTATGTTTTCTACCGACTTAGGGATTACTTGTTTTAATTTAATTTTGGTTAATTTTTTAACTGTATTATGGTGTGTGTGGCTATATTTTATTATTAGATGTTATCTATTTTATTGTGTAATCTATTTTATCTAATTATTAATTGTTTTATTGTATCCTATGCATTTTTATACTGTTTTAACATTTTTAAGCCTCCTGGAGAAACTTCAGGTTACGGGGCAGTCTACAAATAGAAATAAATAAATACAATTGGAGAAAAAGTTGCACATGGGACATCAGTTATCTGGATGATAAAAAAACTGGAATGCTCCATTATCAATCAAAGTGGTGTCGCAGCAGTGGGATATACTAAAGATATTTAATTTATTACTGTATTTACATAACTGTCCCATGAGAGAATATGCCTGGGCAGTTTCTAAGACACAATTTAAAACATAAATTTAAACTGAGAGACCCAGGCTATTTAAAAGTCATTTTAAAAAGCCCAAGTGACTAAGAAGTTCTTCAGGATCTCTGAAGCAGAGCTTAAGGTCAGGATTGGTACATATGAAGGAAAGCAGATGTTCAGATAACTGAGATCAAGCCATTTAAAAACCAGTGCTTTAAACTGGGCCTAAAAATGTTTGGGAACCACTGCAGCTAACAAGACACAAGCATAATTGATTGCACCCCCCCCCCCCCGCTGCACCGAGTCCTTTATTGGTGTGGTTTATAAATTTGAAAAATAAATAAATAAACAAATTGGAAAAAAACCACTGTATTCTGATTCAATTTATCTGCAATAATGCAGATGAAGGTTTTCTAGTGATCCTAGTTAGAAGACAACTGTACAGCTATTCCAGCAATTCCTCCTTATAGATGTTCCTTTTGTTTTTTAACAACAGCACAAGTAGTGTGCAAACACAGAAGGGTTACAAGTTGAAGATTATGTAGAATTCTGTGAATAAAGGTAAAGACGATGGCATAACAAAAGTCTCATTTGAAAGCACTCCTGAACCAGCTCCAGTATCTGAAGAGTGCCTTAACTTAGCTTGGTCATATACAAAACATTGCAATAATCTAAACAGAAGGTAAATATGTCCAAAGTATTTCTGGGTAAGGTTGCAGCTAAGCTGAATCCAGGTAAAGCTGCAACATTTGCTGAATCCCTAAGTAATTTCTGACAGATCTTTTGATGGAGTGCAATCCTATCTAGAAGAGACCGGACACTGCATGTGGAGGCACCATCAACTAGCCCTGTAGCATCAGTGGCCCTTCTTTGTTAGGTAAGGTAGTCACATTTCTAAGTGGGACATTTTGTAGCAGAGAAGAGGCTTGTAGTGCCACCCATTCTGTGCCACTTTGCCTCAAAGGATAACTTCTCCTTGAGGGTCCCCCCCCCCTTTATTTTGGTTCCTGGCCTTTTGAACCTCTTGATCTATTCTTTCCTTTTGGATAATCAAGGGAATTTTTTAATAGGTTGCTATTTAAAGTGCTAGCTAAGTGATTGGAAACTAATTATGGAAAGCAATTGGAATTTTTCTTTGCTGGTTGCTAAGTTGATTTTTCTACACAAACTCTGAAAAGGCTGATGCTGAGTTGAAAAAATACTGAAATATTGAGTTGAAAAAATATTAAAAAATAAAATGTTAGACCAGAGTTACAGTCTAGGTGGTCAGCCAGCCAACTAACTGTATCATTCAAATTAATGTTACTATTTCTTTAGGTTGTACACAAGAAAATAAAGACAAAATTGCCACTATGACTTTGAGTATGGTGAATGCTTTAAAAGGGTAAGGGGTAACTTACGGTAAGTATTTATTTTTAGATTACTTTGAGTTATCTCTTCATTTCATTTTTTAGCAATAAGCACCCATCTTGCTATGTTTATAATATCTGCAGAATAAATAAAATCATCTCACTGTAGGCAAACAAACATGTTTCCTACTGCTGGCTGGTTGGAGAACACAACTGAAAATGAAAAGCCAAGTCTACATGGTGGAGTCTAAGGCTCAGTTCACACAGCATGACAAACAACCTTGTGCTGCTTCCA